AAGGGGTGTTCCATCCCTGCCACTGGGAGGTACGTAAAGTGCAGAGCCAAGTGATTCTGACTGTCCTTCCTGAGCTTCGGCTGTGACCCTCTCGGCCTCTGGCTCTATGGTCTGAAAGCAGGAATTCTGTGCCTGCCTGCCTGCCTTTTCGTGTCCTTGTGACAAGGTATTTAGCAGGATTTGCAGGTGCGCTGGAATCCGACAGGGCTGCGCCATGAGCACTTCTGCTGTGGCCTGTTCTGCGCCTGATCCTGTACATGGGTTCCACTCGTGACACCCAGGGGCTGCCAAGGCACTGGCCTTTTTTTCATCTGCTGATTGATGATTTTTTTTGTTGTTTATTTTTTTATTTGGTATTTTTGGGGGTTGTTTTTTTTTTTTTACATTGTGGTTTGGCAGACTAGTCTTAAAGAGCCTCAAGATGCTGCTTGTGATTGACATAACAAAATGCAAATGATATGTTGTTTTACTAGGCTCTAATTTATCTGACTTGAGGTTTGTGTACCAATAGTACAAAGCTTTTCTTACAAGGGCTTTCTCTACCATGTGTAATGTACATAGGGGAAAACTACTCTAAATTGTATGCTTAAAAATAATTAGAATTGGGTATCCCAATAATTAGCTACCACAGTAAATTAAAATTTAATGTTGCAAGTTTTGTATTCCACATTTACTTTGAATTGATTTTATTGAAAGATTAAGTGGATTTAAACATCTTTGTGGGGGGAAGATTAAGTTGCTGTTGGGTAATTGTGAGAGGGCACTGGATTCTGTGAAATTTTAGAAAACAAAATCCATTAAATGTTAGACTTGAAACTTCCTGAAGGTTAGTACAGAAAGGAATAATGGCTCAAGCTCAATTTGACATTTGACTTAACAGTAAATGAGCTCATAGAGTGAGAAACTGCCAATGCACTATTAGGAATAGTCCTGTATGGCAGAAAGAATGGGCAATTTGGGTTGAAAGGGTTTTTCCCTTCTCATCTTTAGGGCTTCTGGGGCTTTTTTCCAGGAGGAGCATCTTTGGTCTTGTTTTTACATAGTAAATACAAATGTCAACCTAATGCTTTGAGTGATCATCCTTATCTGACACTGGGATATGCCAGTTCTTGCAGAGGTGGTGTTCACTGTAGCTAATTCTCAAGTTAGACGGCCCGAATTGGTACGATTGATTACACCAGTAATAGAATCGCATCCCCTGCAACTCTAATGTTCCACAGTCCGTTTCCACTCAGAGATCAAGAGCATTCTGCGGCAGGTTGCAATAAATCCCAGGGTGTTTCTAGGTCAGTGAGGCAGTGTAAGAGGTCTGCCCCTGCAGAGTTTATATTGCTGGCTGTAGGATTTGGGGTTGTTCTGTTTTTCTTATTCCTAAAACAGCCAAAGCGTTGCCTGTGTAAATTATTTAACCGGTTCGGCAAACTTAACCTTTTGCTTGGACGTTGTCTCCTCTGTTACGTAAGAAGGAGGATGAGGGGTATAAAACCCAGCAGAGGACTGCAGGCCAGGATGTTACATTCAGGTGCTTCTTCCTGGTGTCAGTGAAGGAGATTGCAGGCAAATTAGCATGTGCAAAATGGCATTAAACCTTGACTTAGAGTTCTTTTTCCATTTACTGTGCATGACACTGGACTTCTGTACTACATATGTTGTTGGGCCAGGGAGGTGCTGCCTCTCGGGGTGAAAGAACACAAAGCAATCCTTGTGGATCAGGGAGGACAGGGTTCACTTCAGTTTACAAGGAAATTGTGCAGCTCTTAACTCTAGCAAAGCATTCTGTGGGGGCTCCGTCTCTGGAACAAAGCCGAGGTTGTGTTCATGTTGCAGTCTGCAGAGCAAGGCTCAGGGACCCAACTCTGTACCCCTTCTGCAGCTCAGGTGAGCAGCACTGTGTCTTTGAATGTCTGTGCATCGGCCTTCAAAGCTAATGGTGATGCCTGGCTCTTGTTCTGGTCTTTATTAGTGTCAAAGTGCTGAACAATGTGTGTTCATGTTTAATTGGCCCTTGGACTCAGACTTAAACAGCAGTGGCTTACATGCAGCTAATAGCCCAGACCTAGCCAGGGTATTGATAATGGGTAGTGTTTCTCCAGCTTCCTTGTGATAGGGTTGGGGACAGGGAGTGGACAGACCTATGAGACACAACCTGCACATCTAGTTTTTCCAGTTGTGGCATGAGGCAGATCCACCAGGCTTCAGTATTTGTGCACTGGATGCAGAATTTTGAGTGGGGACGTCTGTCCTGCTGTGTTGGCTGAGTACGGAGACGGCAGAAAGGCAAGTTGGCTGTTCACCCATTCATGAGTAGGTGCAGGTATCTTCCTTCGGTTACAGGATCCTGTTTTTCCTTTTGACATGCAACTCGGCTGTCAGCTGAGCTAGGGAAAGTTCGTGTTTGCCTGGAAGGGATCTTTCTGCTGGCCTTTTTGTAATACAGTAAGTTTTAAACTCCTAGTTGGGGGGGGGACCGACCCTGGTATGAGAGGAGGGCTCTGGGAGACACTTGGCTGGAGGGGATGGGGCCAAGGGAGGTTTGTGGAAGTTGCAGGGGACTTCTGAAATAGGGGGGGTGGAAGGGAGACCCTATAGGGGAATGGAGAGATGCTTGGGACCCCCAAATTGAGTAGTGTGTAATTCCTTAGGGTAGTAAATTCTGTGGCTGTTGTGCAGTATGGAGCCAGGGAGGGCTGGCTTTAGAGAGGCATCAGTCATCCAGTTTTTCCACCTTGGGTTGGATTGCCAGCAAATCCACTTCCCTCATGCTGAAGGAGCATCAGCTCAAATGGCAAGACAGCTAGGGAGTGAAGTGGGATCTCCATTAGGAAGGACCCTAGCAAGTCTCACCATTGTCGTCGTCTTCAATTTCTGCTGAAGTAATTTCATAAAGACACAAGGTACGAAGATTGAATGAAAAGTTAGTGCTTTTGTTTTCCTCCACCTCTGCTCCCGGCTCCTTTGCTCTTACCCTAATAGTAGGGTAAATCGAGGAAAAGAGAAGAGGAAAAATTCTTCCTGATGGACGCTTGTTTTTCAGTAGTCCATGTTTAGCATGCATTAGGACAGCTAAGAGTGCCTGACTGTGCAGCTATGCTA